GTACCTGGCAGTCGCCTACTTAGCAGACACTGCGGTAGAGAAGGTGAGGACATCAGCTAAGAGGGCAGCGCTTCTCAACTCAGCCTGGAGGGCAGTGTGGGTTAAGACCTGGGAGGGTGATCAAACATCAGGAGCCTGACTCTGCAGTCTGCCCTTTGAGGGTTCCTTGCTGTTTGTCTCAAGGCTGGACCAGGTGCTATCAAGGTCCGCTGAAAAGGGGAAAAGATTCCCCATCAAGGCCAAAAAGAATAAGGGGAAGAAGTATTTTTGAGCCCACCTTAATCAGAGCCAGCATCTTAATCAGAGTCTTAGGAAGGACTCTCCCAAAAAATGGGCCTCCAAACCCGCCAGTAAGGATCCCTAATGACATAGATCTCAGGGGAGACTGTCCATGTTCCTCCAGCAATGAGGGAAGATTTTGGAGATCCCGTACATCCTGCAATTGATAATGGAGGAGTACCAATTGGAATTCTCTTCACTCCCTCCCATACCTTTGTGCTGACTTATGCCCCCCAGAGACAGGACAAAGGCAGAGGGTCTCAGGGATTTAGCGGATCAGGAGGTAATTGTTCCCGTGCCAACGGACCAGCTTTTTTGGGGATTTTATTTCCATGTCTTTGTGGTCTTGAAGCCTTTGGGGAAATTCCATTTGATCATAAACCTAAGAATGTTGAACACGTTCCTGTGTTACAAGAAGTTCCGTATGGAAGGTATCTACAGTGTACACAATCATCTGCTCAAAGGAGTCTTTATGGCCACTGTGGATCTCAGGGATGCCTACTTTCACATTCCAATCACCCCAGAATACCAAGCATTTTTTACGGTTTGCCATCTTCACGGAATAGGGGGTCAGTCACTGTCAGTTCTCCTGGTCAAGGTCTTGACCAAGGTAGTAGCCTATTTACACCTTCAGGGAATGTCCCTCATCCCTTACCTAGACAATCTGATGGGCTACAGAGTCTCATAGCACTGAGAGACTTGGGAAAAGTGTGATCTTTGGGGTGGATTGTCAATCGGGAGAAGTCTTCATTGACTCCCTCCCAAACCAAGGTGTTTCTCGGGTATGTAGTGAACTCCAGAGTCCAAAAACTTTTTTACCCCAAGAGAAGACCAAAAAGGTAGTGAGGACAGTCTCCACATAGTTAGCAGTTTCAGATTGCTCCCAGAGGCACATTGTGAGAGTCCTAGGAGCCTGCATTCCTAGGAGCCTGCATTCCCGGCCTTTGAGTGGGCACAGATACATTCCAGGGAGCTTCAATTCTTTCCTTCTATCCTCTTGGGACAAGAAAACAAAATCGCTGGATGCAAGGGTTTCCCTCCCGGAGAATGTAAAGAACTTGCTGAGATGGTGACTCAGGCCCCAAAAGGAAGACAGTGGGCTCAGTGGGATCCATTGAGGGTAACCACGGATGCAAGCGAGTGGGGCTGGGGAGCTCATTTAGAGGACTGAAAAGCTCAGGGAACCACACCTAAAGGGGACCTCCTCCAGTTATAGGGAGTTACTGGCAGTAGGTCAGGCCTTGAAGTCCTTTGAAGACAGGATTGGGGGAAAAGAAGTCCAAGTTCTCACAGACAATATGTTGACAGTGGCATACCTGAATCATCAGGGGGGCACCAGATCCCAGAAACTCTTAGAACTAGTTCAGGAGGTTCTAGGATTGGAGGAAAGCAGGGTCCTTTTGGTGTCCACTGTCCACATAAATGGCTCAGCCAACACGAAAGCAGACTTTCTCAGCTGACAGTTAATCTGCCAGGGAGAGTTGGAACTCAATCTTTTTGCAGCTAAGTAAGGTTTTGGCAGCCCAGAAATAGACCTTTATGCCTGCAGGAAAAACAGGAAAGTGAGGCATTATTTCTCCATGGCCTGGGAAAAGGGGTCCAAGGGTCAAGAGCTGACATATGCATTTCCCCCCTGGCATTGATCTCGCGGGTGCTACAGAAGTTGAGCCAGTCAAGCTACAGACTGATCCTGCTAGCTCCATGGTGGCTGTGAAGAGCCTGATTCGCTGCTTTGAAGAGGTGGTCCGTGGCTCCCCTGCAGCGTCTCCCAGTCAGGAAGGATCTTCTCTTGCAGAGGCCATCTCTGCACCCCAATCCGGAGTTTTTTCAGTTAACAGCTTAGCTCTTGAAAGGGAGATCTTTAGAAGAAGGGGGTGTTCTGAGAGGGTGATAGACACTCTTCTCCTTAGTAGGAAACAGGTTACTAGAAAGGTATACGCCAAGGTGAGGAGAAGGAGGTTTCCCTTCCAACGGTCCTTGTGATCTTAGACTTTCTCCAGGCAGGGGCGGATAAAGGTATAGCTGTAAGCACCCTAAAGGTGCAAGTGGCAATCTTATCGAACTATTTGGACCAGAGACTCGCATCAAAGCCCCTAGTTAAGATGTTTCTGGGGGCCAGGGAAATAGTGACCCCCATAGTTTTCCAGCTTGGGATCTGACCTTAGTGTTAGAGGCTTTTACCAAGCCACAGTTTGAGCCAGTGGCACAGATTTTTGTTAGGATTTTGTCTTTTAAGTTAGCCTTCCTGTTAGCCATTACAATGGCAGGGAGGATAGCCGACCTTCAGAACTGTCGATTAAGAAACTCTTCCTGGTGGTATTAGAGGACAGGGTAGTGCTTAGACAGGATCTTCTGTATTTGTCCAAGGGGGCATCACAGTTTCATAGGACAGAAGAGATTTTCTTACTGTCTTTTTGTCAAAACCCTAAGAATGAGAGGGAAAAGAGTTTTCATTTCTTAGATGTCAGACGGTGTTTGTTGGCAAATTTGGATAGAGTAAGTGACTTCAGGAAGTCGAGTCACCTTTTGATTTTGTTTAGTGCAGGTCATTTTGCAAACTGCACCACCCTTTGTGTGCACACCAGGGAGCACCTTGACTGGGTGGGGGGGGGGGGGGGCGGACATTTTTTATGGATATTTTCTGAATACTGAATACAAACTATATAGTTTGTGTCCACTGGCCCTTAGCTGATCTGTAGTTGGCCCCCTTATGAACACTATCAATTGCCTCATCACCCTTTGGCCTTACAGTAGGATATTTCCATAGTGTGTGGCTGAGTGTGGTGGTGTGGATGCTTGATGGCTGTACAGCTGCCTGTGATGACAAACAATGTTGTCTTTTTATTCTGTATGGTGATGGGTGACATTTATGCTCTTTAATGTTTTTATATGTTTTTGATATTTAATAATATCCTTGGTTTTTTAAACTGCTTGATCTGCATAGTAAACATCCTTTTGGGCTCTCCTCGTTTGTTTTTTCAATGTCTGTGAGATCACAGATGAGATGGTCATGCCTCCACGCCTAAGCTGCAGTGTTCCCGTCATGTAGTCTGAGGCTAACAGTGATGTCACTTGCAATATCTGTGACTCAGACCCCACTAGCCCCAGTGCACATAACATAACAAAGCATTATAGCGGTCACATGAAAGCTGAAAAAAATTGGTAAATTAAGGAGATCTGTTGCCCCAGTGACGACATCCTTTAGGACAAAATGCATCAGATGGAGACTTAGCGGTGACGTCATCATGCCCACCATAGCATGCCCAGGCATAGGACATTTTGCAATTGATGTGCTTTTATGATTTTTTATGTTTGTAAGTACAAGTCTTTTTTTTTAATAAATTGTTTTTTTAAATATTGCACTATGAGAGATCCCTTTCTTTTCACATGCGGGTATGCTGATCGTTCTGCCCCTGAGCCACAATAGAAGCCTGATGGCAGTGTTGAGAGTGGGGTCATACTATTTACATCAGGAGCTGACTTCTATAGGACTCCGAGAGTTGATTCATCCATCTCCTATTGAGATTCCCCTAAAGTGCTGCTAGACCTTGTTTGTGGGTGATACGCACAACGGTGTGGATTAGAAGCACAGGATTATTCTTTGTTTATTTGAAACACAGACTGAGTACAATTGTTTATAAGTTTGGTGAATGGATTTTTCACGATTAAGTTATATGGATTTTATATTATAATGAATTATTGTCAAAATTATGTATTTTGATGTATTATTTTTTTTAGTATTTTGGGTTATGCACTTTATATACTTTACTGAATTTTATTATTCATGTAGTTAATAGTGCAACACAGTTGGTTTTACTTAGATTTATTAGGCAGCAAAGTACCTGCTGTATCTCACCTATGTTTGCAAAAAACAGGTATCATTGTTCAAATACATAAATATGTATGGAAGCTATGGGGTAGATTTACTTCAACTGGATAATGTAAAATCTGGTGCTGCTCTGCAGAGAAACCAAACAGCTTTCAGGTTTTTTGTCAAAGTTTAATTGAACAAGCTGAAGTTTGAAGCTGATTGGCTATCACACACAGTTGCACCAGATTTTGCACTCTCAAGTTTTAATAAATCAACCCCTATATGTCTAATCAAACAGCAATGAGTTTTGCAAAACTGCTTAATTTATTGTGAGAACCAGCAGTGGAGTATATTATAGCATTCGATAAATAGAGATCAGGCTTACCTGCCTTTTTGCAGGCCTAGATCTTCATGTCTACAAACTAGAGGATGGATTATTACTATAATATGCCATTCCATTGCTCTCATGTATTAGAGTGGGACCACACAATGCACCCTGATGTAGTGTGTAGCTTTCACAACTATTTACAAATATGTGCTGCCAAGACCTCTGTCGTAGAACTAGAAACAGATTAAATATGTCCTTCTTCCTACCTATTAAGCTAGGTCCACACTATTGCAGGTACAAGGATGCATGTTAATTGCACACATCCCCACACCAGCAAACACCCACAGCCATAACACACTGCCTTTTAGCAGATGTGTGGGGGTCCCATCATTTTTAATTGCCTCCCCTTGCATTGAAAAATTAGTCATATCTCAAAGGCCTTAAAAATGTATGGTACCAAAGCACCATGCTCTTCCACACGGCTGCATTTTCAAAAAAACGTTGAGGGATTTTTTTTTCCCTGTGGGAAATGTAGGTATAGAAAACCCATTCAAATGAATGGGTTGTTGTGACTATGCAAACGTGAGCCACAGGGGCGGACTGACAACTCAAGGGGCCCCGGGCAATAGGGGATCATGGGGCCCCTGTGTCCTTGCCCAACCTCAAAAATGCCTATGAAAAAGGTACCAGGGGCATCTCATGGGGCCTCCTACTGACCCCGGGCCCTCGGGCAGTGCACGAGTTTTCAAATGGTCAGTCCGCCCCTGGTGAGCCACACCACCAGCTAAACGTGATTCTAGCCTTAGACCTGATACCAAGCCAACAAATAAAATGCCTGGTGCGAGGAGTTGCCTTCCCAAATGACCAGTAAATGAAAGTGAAACTACAGCAGAGAAAGATCGGGTCCCCCTTACCCTGGCTGTGTTGTGGGGCAGAGCTGTGTAAATACTAGGACTAAATGGATAGAAATGCAAACCTTTTTGACAGGTAACACAGTTTTCATGTTTGTATTTAATCAGTGTATTTGGCTCTTTGCCTTGAGTTTACCTCTCATGTTTACACTGTTATTATGTAAAATCCCAAAATGTTTTAACAGTATGTACTCTCAATTACTACAATTACTAGCATGCTCTCTAAAAAGCAACGTAAAAAAAAAATGGTGATCAGTGCTGCTAACTGATGACTTCCCCACAGCTGGGGCACGACAAATCCAGGAACAATTGTTTATTTCCCTGCAGAAATAATAAAGTCCTTTTGACGTTGCCCCCTATGCTGTTGCCAAGCATTTTCCACATAGCTCTGCAGCAAATGGTGAAGGTGGGGGGGGCTGGCTAACGGGATCGAAAAAGGTCTAGGAATGCCTGATGCTCCTCTCCAGTGACAGCATATAATAGATTTTATATGATAAAATAGAACCGCCATCAAGGTGACCAGAGACATCATTTTTCGTAAGAAAATACTGCTTCAAAAATACTGTAAATTGCCTTAATGTTTAAAGCAATCTATTTCTCTGTACTTATTTTAAACCCAGCGAGCAGTAATGATCACTGAGAAGGAAATATCACTGTTACCGTATTATCAGGCTACCTATTGAACCATGCTGTGTATATCATCATAAAGCCAAGATGCCAAAGAGTCCACTCCAAGACATACAGTTTGTTTCATTAAGAATTACGAACAGCTATTTTTATCCATAAGTCAGACGGCTATCCATTCCATGTTCTCATCAGAGGAGTACTTATTATGGACATGGCTTAGAGCGCAGCCAGACGGTGAGCAATATTTTACTGCATCCACCCTAGCCACTTTAGGTGGTTAACACAACATATACAGTGTTTAACTATCCAGGTCAATGGACAGCATGATCCTTGCAAGCAATGTACTTACCTTTTGCATTGTTTGTAATCACTAGGAAGGGATCAGGCCTTGTAGCTCTTCTCTAGGCATACATAGAGGAGTTGATTTACAAAAGTCAAATTGGCTCCACTTTGCAAGGCAGTGTTCTCTTAGTTTATTGAATGAAGAGAAAATTCACATTGCAAAAAATAATCATGCGCAAAGGAAAAAAATGATTTTTGCTTGCACATCATTGGATGACAGAAGTCAACAGAGCTTCACGACATTCACTGACCTAATTAAAAGTCCCTTGCAAAGTGAACAGCTTATTTGCCTAACCTCAGTAGTAAGGGTTTGTTCACACTATCTACAATGACCTGTGTTTTTGTGCACTGGATGAATGAAGGCCACTGCTGGGGAACATAGAAAAAATGTTTTCCTATGTGCCCTGCTGACACCACAATGCCGGTGTGATGTGCAGTGTGTTGCAGAACAGGAAAATACAGCATGTCTTAATTTTTCCACACTGCACTGGATGGCAGCATATGTCACCGCACTGCAGTGCGATGAACCATAGTGCTTTTTCAGAGACATGAATGAAGTGCCACTATGTCACATTTTAAATAAAAGTTTGAAAAAAAAAAAAACAGGCATGCAGCCTGTTGCACCCTGGCGCAGCCAAAAAATGTGTGTTTTAACACATGGGCTAGTGCGAACCAAGTCTAAAGCAACCTCAGTGAGTGCAAGCAGCTGTTCTGGAGGTATGGGAAGTAAGCAAATGCAGATTAGTAATTATTGCAAAAAAGAAAAGAAAATATGTATGCCATTAACATCATAAAAAAGTCCTAAAAAAGTTCAGTAATGCATTAGTAATGTAATTAGTAATGCAATAACTTTCTCAATGGGACCTCTGTCTGTATGGGTCCTATATTCAAATCCTAGGACCTCCTGCATTGAGTTTGTATGTTCTTTCCCTGTTGGCATGGGTAACCTTTTGGTGCTCCAGGTTTCTTCCCACAATCCTCCAAACATGCCGGATGATTAATTGGCTTCCCTCTAAATTGTCCCTGATGATTTTACAAGTGTTTAGGTACGTTTACATGCATCAAGCACTAGGGTGTAAATTCATTTCAATGACCAGAACAATAATTTATCCTGGCTATTGAAATTAATTAACATTCAAGCACTAAATGGGCCTAGCATTAACACATGTTTAGGCGCATTGTGAAACGCTTACACGCATCAAGTGTTTTTCCTGCCAAAACGCTGCTGCTCCTGGATGCACTGGCCTTGGGGTTTTTTTTCCTGCTAGTAAATGCTTCTGGCACTAAAAACATCTAAAAGACTATGGGGTTGATTTACTAAAAGCAAATAGACTTTGCACTGTGCAAGTGCAGTTGCTCCAGGGCTTAGTAAATGAGGTACAGCTTCATTATGCAAAGAATACCTAATCACATGCAGGGAAAATTAAAAAAAAACAGCATTTGTGCTTGCATGTGATTGGATGATCAAACCTTCTGCTCATTTACAAAGCTCTGGAGTGTGACAGACCCAACCGGGACAGGTGCTTTGGAGTGGACTGCAGGCTAGCCTCTTGCCTACTGACCATGGCCCTGACATCTGAGTGGGATGCATTCTGTATTTGTGCCTGGGGGGGACCTTTGGAGTAGTTTACTTTGAATTCAAGTCCATGTCTCCCCAAAACACACAGACTCTGAGAACTGGAGGATCAACATACAGATTTGATGTTGGTGTTACATAAACACTGGAAAGGAACGAAGTGATAAACCTGCCCGCTGTTACAAAAATATCCACGCACATTGTAGAATATTTACTTTGTAGAAATGAAGAGCTGAAAATCAAAATAGTCAAACACAGCACAGATGAATCCATTCTGATTAAATATTTGGATAGGATCACATTAGACATTGTCACATTCACTTGCAGAGGCACACCTGTTATATTTTTTAGATGCACAAAGTGTAGCAGAAACCATTAGCAAGCATGCAAATTTCATTCTATTACAGTTAGCTTATTTAACCCTTTCCCTGCCAGTGTCATTTATATATACCACTACAGCACCTTGTAAAGCTGTACATGAAATCCAGTGTCCATTAGGGCCACTAAACCACGATGAGTTCAGAAATACTGAGCATTTCTGGGTCAGTCTTCAGTGTCTTGAAAGCATCAATCTCCTTTCATTGACTACAACAGCTACACATACCAGTGACTTTGGAGTAGTGGGCAGCAATAGCTTTGCGGTACAACCCCCAGGATCATTCTGATTGTCATCTGACCCACACATTAGACTGTACAAAGGCCAATACAATTTCTTAAAAGGGGAGGGGATTTTTTTTCTTTTTTAAGTAAAAAGTTACATTAAAGACATCAGGAAATCTGTAAAGGATAAGTTCATCTTTTAAAAAAAAATAATAAATGCACATTTTTTTCTACGTAAAAAATGTGCATTTATCATTTTCTGTATCTGGAGCCTCTAAAGCATTGCACCAGCGATCAACAGATCGCTGGTGCCATACAGGTCACCTGCAGACCAGTTTGTGTATCTGTGTGCCCAATAAGATAAAATTCTGGTGCAAAAAGGTTAAGTGGGCATCAGGGGCGGACTAACCATTTGGAAACTCGGGCACTGCCCGAAGTCAATAGGGGGCCCCATGAGATGCCCCTGGTACCTTTTTTATAGGCTTTTTTGAGTTATAGCAAGGACACAGGGGCCCCATGATCCCCTATTGCCCAGGGGCCCCATGAGTTGTCAGTCCGCCCCTGGTGGGCATGTACACACAATATAATTACAATAACACATATAATGCCTATAAAGTCCATAAAATATATATATATATATATATATATATATATATACATATATATAAATATATATAAGTCCTTAGTGTGCTTGAGGGTCCTAAAGCGGCTGCCATCCTGCAGAGTAAGAACACTCTGTGCAGTAAGAAAGAGAAGAAGGAGGAGGCGCCACTAAGTGCAGGCCTGTAGAAGGAGCTAGAGGCTCTGAGCTAGTAGCCTTTTATCTCTGCTATCCTCTTCTGGTCCTCCGTGTTCCTCTGGTGACGTCACATCCGCCCCTACACTCCACGCTGGTTCGGCAGATGGTTCCTGCTGTACACCAGTCTATCTTCCTGGCTCTGATCCCCAGCACCAACATTGGACACTTCCACTAGAGGCTCCCATGGGAATGAAGAGGACAGACCCTCCCCTTGGATATGCAAATGTGCTTTTTATTCATCTACTCTTGTGAGTGCATTTTTATTGTGTGATATTAAAGTCTACGAAATACTGCACTTAGTGGCGCCTCCTTCCTACTTCTCTATATGTGTACTCATACATCTTATACGGGCAGGCAGATACTTACTGACAGGAAGACTTAATGAACTACCACAGCACACCACAGTGCCATGGCAATTCATTGAGAACAGCAAGCTGACAGCCACAAAGGCTGTCGAAACTTGTAGTGTTCTCATTTACAGAATACTGTGAATGAGTGATGGGGCCAGGCGGGCAAAGCCCCACACGACTACATTTTAAAAAATTGTGACAGTTAGTAGGGGGGAGAAGTTCCCCTGCTAGCGTTCACAATGGGGAACTGGGGATCGGGGGGGAGGTGTGCAGGGGGCCGGTCCATTCGTAACTTATTACATGTTGCACCCTGAATATGGATGTAACATGTTACGAAAGGTGAACTTATCCTTTAAGCGGAACTGAAATTGTTTTCCACTGCGGCCAAAGCTTTCCACTCAGCCTCTCCTTCAAAGGGACATAAACAAAAGTCAGATCTTGAGTCAAGATTGTGCCATTCTCAGAGCTGAGAGTCCCTTAGCTCTAAAAAAGAGACCTACTGAGGCATGGATATGTGGGCCTTTCAGTTCTAGTCAAAGTAGCCAAAGGGAGCATGACATCAATGATGGCATTGATGTGGAAGG